ATGGCACTGTATGGTCCCAGTCCCACATAGGTTTATCTCTACGGTGTATGCACGTGACTACATTCCGCTCCAAATCTTATAAATGCAAATTTTGCAATTTAAACCATTTATTAATCATTAATGCCTTCTTTCATATAAACTAAGTGATCAAAGTAGACCAATATCATATAAACCGACGACATAAACATCATGCTCGAGATCTCTTTCAACGTATGCGAGTCGGATACAACGTACTAACAAGATATGGACTTCTTATACAATGATGAAGTCAACACTGTGCTGCTAGGTACAAGGGAATGCTAATCTTCTGAATTTTATACGAAATTATAAATTAAATATTTATTTATTTTATAATTCAAAATCAATTTATAAAATTATCAATGGGTATGGGGTCATTGGTTGGGGGCTTGACCGTTATGTTGGATTGTTGGTTGTCAAGTAGCTTTTTGTTTGTTTGTGTTCATCAAAACCTTAAACAGCATCTCTAATATCCCCAACGTCATTGGAACCAACACCATAATATCCATATATAATTGTAATATTATTTTTTAAATATCTGATCTAACAAACACATGATTCATATAAGTTGTTTTTTTCAAGCAAATTTTAAACAATTAAATGAATAAATTGATCACTTTCAAGCGTTGGTGTTCTAGAGTAGTTTCTAGTGGGAGTGGCTACATCAATCTGTGACAGAACACAGGGAAGGGGATTCTCACCACGTCGATCTGCAAGGGGAACACTAAGGAAGGGGTTTTCACGGATGCGACGAGGAAGGTAGTGGGAGGGCTTCAGAGATGGAAAGGGGCTGCCTAAGATTAGGTTGTGTTGGAGTAGAAGAAGCAATCACAGGAGGGGGTCGATTGGGTTTTTGAGTTCTCGGGTTTCTAACAGTGGTGGTGGAGCTTTCTTTTATATAGATGTTCTTTTTTATTACGTTTTCACTAAAAGGTAATATAAGTTTTTATTATTACTTAGGTTTGATTCTAAGGTAATGCATTTTTATTTTAAGGCCGTGATCATTCTTATATTATTCAAGAAGAAGATGGGTATTTAAGTAAATAAAAGAGAAAAATAAAAAATAAAACCATTAAAATGAAATAACTAGATTAAAAGACAAAATTACTCTTAAACTTAACGGAGATGATGGATGGTTGTTAGGATAAAGGACTAAATCTGTAAAAAAAAATTACATATCACCATGCATTCTATATAATAAATAAAGTCGGAGGACAATTTCGTAAAATAAGTTCATAGCCGAGGGACCATATCCGTAACTTACTCTAATAATTAAAATAAAAAAGTATATTCGTATGTGGCATGTGCCGGTGTTTCCACGAGGTGGGTATAATTAAATGTCTTTTAAAAAAGGAAACAAATCACGTGCGCCGACAGCATGAATTACCAAACGCCTCACGTGACCTTGCTTTCATGCTTGGACCCGGAACCCGATGTACACACTCCATCTTCTTTTCATAAAATAACGACTGCATTTTTTGGTTCCCGTCACACAAACATTTATCATTTTTATATTTAAAAATTAATAATCTAAAAACTATAACAAGAACACTCCATCCATCTTAGAATAAATATTTTTTATTTAAATTTAAATTTATTTTAAAATAATTTTTTCTTTTTAAAATTAAATGTCTATTTTTTATTCTATTTTTAATTATCAGGTGAACAAAGCTTATATACATATGTATGTCTTAGATTTTAACATCTAAAATATTAGATTAAGGGATTGTTAATTCAAATATTTATCTGGTAAGTATTTATGGTAAGATTTAACATTATCACCTTTCTTAACGGACAATATTTTAGTCTATTAAAACAGCATCATATGCAACAATTTACCCAGTAAGTATTAACCGGGTAAAAGTCGTCATCTTCACTTATCGGGTAAGACTCTCAGTCATTGTCGTTGCTCTTACCGGGTAATATTCTCAGTTTTACCATATTTATAACCGATAAGGTAATGTAAGCTAATGTAGCTTAATAAATGTTTACCAGGATAAGCATTTGATAAACAATATCTGAGTATCATGGTGTCAGGAGTTTAACATATAATCTTTGAACACTTTGGGCTAACCATACATATGTAATAATCTATACATGGGCTTTTTCTCAATTTGGGCCTTTTGTTTATTATGGTTTCAGATTTTAGGATACAAGTAGTAAGGCTGTAAACGAACCGAACGAACACGAACGAAGACTTGTTCGTATTCGTTCGTTTAACTTAACCGAACGAACACGAACGGTAAACGAACGAAAATCTGTGTGTTTGTGTTCGTTCGTTAACAAATCATGTGTGTTCGTGTTCGTTTATGTTCATTCGTTAACATGTTAAACAAACAAACATAAACGAACCGGCTAAATAAACATAAACAAACGAGCTAAACGAACATAAATAAATGTTATTTGAATTCAAAGTAAATAAACAAAAGATTATATATTCAATTTAGTATATAAAAGAACATAAACGAACGAATATAAACGAACATAAACGAACGGCGAATGAATGAACGTTCACGAACATAAATGAACGAACGAGACTCTTGTTCATGTTCGTTCGTTTAACTAAACGAACAAAAAAATTTGTTCATGTCCGTTCATTTATTAAATAAACGAACATAAACGAATTTCCCGCTGAACGTTCAGTTCGTTTACAGCCCTAGATACAAGAATATAGAGCTCTTGAATTTGAGTTTTGCCCTCGGTGATGAATTCGGATTTAAATTCTGCCATCTACATATATTTTTTTGTGGTTATCAAAAGATTTACCTTAGGGTCGTGGACGAAGCCTACGGTTACAATTTGTCATAGGATTAGTCTGGACAAATCCTAGGATCGCCCATTTCCGAAAAAATAAAATGATAAGCGATGATAAATTCTCTTTGTTTTTTATATGGTTTTCCTAGGTCGTTCAAAAAAGAGTACTTCAGTTATCACAACGGAGAGATGTAAACCAACTAATAATGACAAAGGGAGAGTCTAAAACAGAAGTTCTCATGGAACAAAGACAAATAATATCGTTTCTTTTCAACCGTTGATTATAAGGGGATCACTTAAAGATGTAGAGAGATTAGATTAATGGGTATGATATGATTGGGTGTAACATGTAATTAAGAATTGTACCAAGTAGTAGAGAAGTTTATATCCAATACAAAAACAAGTTTCACTAGATAGTTGATCAATACATCATTATGATGGTTAAGAAAGTAAAATTAAACATGTCGAGTGTCTATCAGTCTTGAAAATTTGAAGTATGTCAACATTGAAATTAAAATCAATAAATAATGATGAAAAGATTAAGAAAAACAATAATAATATAAAAAAGCAAGAAGTGGTCGGGTATAGATCAGATACTTTTACTTTTTTAACACTTTTTCTCGTTTATCATCTAGAAAAAAAAAAAGAATGGAGACTTTCAAACTCGACGGGTACCTTGTACCTTCCACTCAAGAGGTTTTCATGAAAATTGACGGAATCAATTAAAGAAATAATAAATAATCATTAATGACTTTTTGAACACTCTAAGTTGATATAAAAACCAATAACCTTTAAAATGGGGTTTGTTTTAGGACCTGAAATGTCAAATGGACTTATTTTAGACCAAATAAGAATGGAATAACATGATCAGCCACACCCCACAAGTTTGGATGTTTGGTTTTTTCTTTAACTGTGGGTATTTAGGATAGGTTACGTGCACTTAAACCAATCCTAGAGGTTTTGGAGAATTGTTCAAAAAAAATCCCCAATGATCTTGTAAGACTTGAACTGAACAATCAATGAGTAAAACCCTCATAGGTCCAAGGCTTGTTGTAAGTTGACTCAACTCTAATAGGCTTCTACCCAAAATAATAATAAAAAATAGTAATTTAATTATTTTATTACTGCATGTTTGGTTTATTTAGATTACAAGAAGCAAATATTTTTGGTTTTTCAAATATAAAGTATGATTAATTTAAAAAAAAAAATATAATTATGCAAATTATATTGTAAAAACGTTTTTTAGAAAACAATAGATGTAATTCACATGTGAATACTATACAAGTTCATTTGTGTTTTGTGCAAATGATTTTGTATTAATTACTCTATAAAGGTCAAAGGATTAAAGCTTCATCAAAGATTAAAAGAATGTGTGAGTTTAATTTTTCGTTTATAAATTGTAAAAATCTAATAGCAATAATAATTACAAATTGCAAAAAGACTTCGAATTACTATATAACAAAATGATACCAGCAGAAAAGATTTATATAGAAACACAATAAATAATTTTTTATAAAAAGAAACCAATAAAGTTATTTGATACATTAAATCAGAGGAATGAATGCATCACTAATTCCATCAAAATTTGGTCGTCAAAAAAAGATGGCACATAACCAAATTAATTAATGAATAGTAGTGACCAACGATTTCCTAATTGAGCAAATTACATAAAAAAAAAATAACAAACTTTAACTTGATTCATATTTTGGATAACGTACTTTTAAAACTTCCATTTTGATACCTATGATGTAAAGTTTTAAATATTTAAATACTCGGATAACCAGTTGAAAACTAATTTTAGATTAAAAAAATCCATATCACCATATGAGCAAATAATATTGAGTTGGATAGCATATCCCTCGCAACATCAGCATGATAATTGGTTAATGTTTCAATTGATGACCCAGATACTTAAATGTTTAAAACTTTGTATTTTAGGTACCAAAATTGAAGTTTTAAAAGCACAATATCCAAATTATGAATCAAATTAAAGTACGTTACTTTTTCATGCAATTTGCCCTTCCTAATTTTGTTAAAAACTTTGATATAACTTTTATCCAAATAAAGAAGGATATTACTTCGATATAATTTTGTATGGAAAAAAGAGCATTGTAGTTTACAAACTTAGTACGTAACGTTCCAACTGATTTGGTGATCACTATGTGCCATCATCTTTGCCACCTTATATTACCAACCAAACCTACCACATAAATCTCTCTCTCTCTCTCTCTCTCTCTCTCTCTCTCCTGTGGAGAAGTGATTATCAAAACATATTGAAAGATGGGGGAAGAGAAAGAAGAAAGCAAGAAAGATATAGCTTCTACAGAAACCGAATCAAAATCAACACCACCACCACCGGAACCAAAATCGACTTCAGTTGCAGCAGAACCACCTGAGAAACTGAAGCCTGTTCATGGCGGTGACGGTAAGTTTCCTTCCCCTCTCTTTCATGCACACAACTTTGAGATGATCGGTACAATTTTCACCACCAGTGGATCTTACGGCATGGTTTTGGATTAGTGTGTGGATTGTATACCGATCATCTTGCACCATCAATACAGTTCTGGTTAGCGTGTGACTTGTATTAGTTACCAAGATCATCTCGGGAGTCCTCTCTCTAACAAACGTGTACGAGTTGATGTGATCTCAGAGATTTCTAGGGGCCAAAAAAATAGATATTGATAGAGGTTACAGCAGATGTCCATACCTCAAAAATTGCACAGGGCATGAGTGATAAAGGTGTTTTCCTTCTATTTTAAGATTTTTCTAGTGTAGATAACAACGAGATAACTCACAAGAGCTTGTGACTGGACTTGTCAAATGGTTTAGCAAATCAAGCGGACATGTTTGACAATCTGAACCTAACTCGAGCTTGACATCCCACCATGCTTAATGAGCCATACATGTACATGCTTATAGAAAGTTTATATAAAACTATATAAACACATAAGTTTATATATTTCAACCTACTAGACCTGGGAGGGACCTCTAGTTGTAGTTTCGTTTTCTAAGCTTAATACACTCCTAAGGCCCTAAACCCTAAACCTTTCGGTTTCGGATATTAGTTTTTGAGATTTCTAACAATTTTTATGAAAAATGCCCCCAATGTAAAGCGCACACATCTATTGTGTGGACTGAGGAGGAAGTCATATGAGATGCCTTAAATACTATTTCTCTGATTCTATATCATGCTATTGATTTATATATGTTGCAAATTTACCTTCAGATGCTGGACTTGAAATTGTTGTCACAGAGAAGAGAATGGCGCTAATCAAAGCCTGGGAAGAGAACGAGAAGACAAAGGCAGACAACAAGTATTGTTTTTTTTCTCCCAACTCATATAAGAACATGTTGTAAGATGGCATGTACACCTTTCACCGATCATATGCATGTGTGTGCGTGTGTGCATGCAGGGCATACACGAAAGTGTTAGCAATCGGCGCATGGGAGAATAGTAAAAGAGCAGAAGTAGAAGCTAACCTCAAAAAGATTGAGGTATGTGTTCACTCTTCACCTGTAAAAGATAGTGATATACATGGAAAAAAGCAATAACACATTGCATATAATGTATAAATGGCAGGTAGACATCGAAAACGAGAAGGTGAAACAGAGGGAAATAATGAAGATGAAGATGGCAACAGTTCAGAAGGAAGCAGAAGAAAAACGGGCTGCCATTGAAGCCAAAAAGGGGCAAGACATCATCAACGCAGAGCAATTAGCTGCAAAGTTCCATGCTACTGGAACTTTGCCCAGCAAGTTGTTTAAATGTTTCGGCTACTAATAAGCTAAAATCACCAAGAAGAAAAATCAACTCCCTTCTCAAAAGTTCACCTTATGCTATATGCACATATCAATATATACCACGACAAGATGTCGGACGAAGCTCACATTGTTCATGAACTTCCGACAACAAATTTTAGAACTTATGTCGTTTATTGTCTTACGATTTCTTTTCAGCAAACCTGGGTTTTGTACAATCTATTTCAGCTATAATGTGTTGAAAACTATGAGTTGTTCATACATACGACTAAATAATAAAGACCATGCAAATATCGTAATCAAGCGAAAATGATAGCTCAAATACACTGGATAAAAGGAAATTTAAATTTGATATCCAACATAAATCTAAGAAAATGTTCAACATAACTATTTCAGTTTTCAAGTTTTGTTTCTTTTAAGCTTTTTTTTCTTTTTTTCTTTTTTCTTTTCAGGATATGCAGAAGAAACTACAAGCTATTCACCACAATCATCTAAATACACAGCTAGCATATAACAGATGCTAAACTAAAGGGAAAGGAAAAAAAGCCTAACGTTTGTCTTGAATGACTGTCATCCTTCTATTTCTCTAGCCACAGTTCCACCAATCAGCTCCTGCTAGAGGCGTTTGTTTTATCCATGTTGATTTCACATCTAATTGGGAATGCGCCAAGATGTTAAATCTGCAGAGTATACATTTGATACAGAATCAAGAGACTTGAATAATCCAGGATCAAGATACTCAAAGAAATTACACATTTGACCATTAAAAGGCTCAAGAAAAGATCAAGTTGCAAATATGGAGTCAAGGAACATCAAACACAGCATTTAACAAAAAAACAGCAGCAATCCATTTCCATGACTTCTGTTCTTCAAAATCAAGTTCGGTATCCCTGAGATTTGCCTCTAGTTTTTCTTATATTGGTGAACTATCAGATTAGGCTCTTCTCAGAAGCAATACTAATTAAAATGTTGAAATGTGCATGATTCTGGGTACAAATTACCAAGAAAATGCATATTGTAACTAACCATTGCAAAGCATATGTCATGGATCACTGACAATAAATGGCTTGATCGATTTGGGGAGGAATTTGTTTTATTTCAGTTCCAAGCTCCTGCTCAATCCTATACCTGTATAATAGCACACACATTGGCATCGCCAATAGAAATGCAAAGTATATATAGCAAATGGTAATATGAGACTACATACAAGTTAAAGCGGTCTTCATAAGTTATCAAATTCACAGCTAAACCCAGATGTCCAAACCTTCCGGAACGACCCACCTACAATCACAACATAAATAAGAACACTATTGTGAATATATAGGGGCATAATCAAATGAGAAACAACACTGCATTTTCACATGCATTGTTTCGTAAAACAAAACATGATTTCTTTATCTATATATATATATGTGTGCGCTTCATAACAAGACTTCGTCTTACCCTGTGCAAATACGTCTCGGCATTCCTAGGAAAATCAAAATTGATGACAACATTGACTGCTTGGATATCTATACCCCTTGTAAATAGATCTGTTAAGACGAATCAAATTGCACATTAGTATTGATCATCAGATGATCAATCAGCTACTCCTATTTTCCAAAAGGTACATTTTCAGTAATGTCAGAATAACGTTAAATATGCAATGATCTAGAATAATAGTAGCATCTGTCAATTGAACTTTTAAACATATGTGAATAAATTGTACATGGTGAATTTAATGGTCACGAAGAACTCTGCACCAATAATGGCACATAGAATACATTTCGCAGTCAAACAAAGAAAACGAATTGAGAACTTGGCCTTTTCCATTTGCATTTAGCATCCTGCAGAAGTATATGGACCATATGTTGTTTAGAAGATTGATACGATTTCAAGAACTGAACGGGTCCTAATGCATGTCCAAGGAGATCAAACAATGACAACAATATAATTAACTCTGGTGAATTACTTGCTGGATTCTAGATTTTAATTCCAATTATGCCAATTTAAAGCAATCTTTTAGCCAGTATCATAGATCATCCTCTCTCTAACAAGTGTATACAAGTTCATGTGATCTCAAAGATCTGTAGAGAGAAAAAACATATGATGACAAGACGTTGCAACAAATGACAATCCTCCAAAACCTGCAGGGTGGATTAAAGTAATAGTGGTGTTTCTCTATTTTAACATTTTTTAGTGTAGATATAGACGAGATAAATCATAAGAGCTTGTGAAGCATCGTTATCATGCGGATGCCTTAAAAATACTCTCTCTCTCTGATTCTATACCACACTATTGATTTATATATGTTTCAATTTTACCTTCACAAGGCAGGCTTGAAATAGTTGTCACCATCGCTTCTACTGTCCCAAGGAGTAGAACTATAGTGACATCATGAGCTGTAGTCTCAAGGATGGGTTATTATGAGTGTAAAAGCCTACACTTGAAGCATGGCATGAAGAAGCTGCAATGGATCACATACTACAGTTGCATATACTAGCAACTTCGAAATCCTAACTCAAAATTCTTTCATGAATAGGTCACCGAGCTCATCATATTAAAATGGTATCCTAGTTAGTTTTCTTCGTGAAACCACCTAAACATCAAATCCAACGCAAAACTAAACTTACTAAGTTGTTTGGAACAACAGAACCTATTTCAGCTCATCAATCTGAAAATTAAACCCTGTTACTCAAAATCACAGACAGAAGCCAAAACTCTGCACCTCCAATTCTATATATCTGTTAACATTGAACTTAGCCCAAGAATCAGAGAACTAAAAGGCTAATATGCAATACTTAATGCACAACAAAGTGTAGGATGGAATGTTGATATGTAGAGGTGTACTCTACACTTAAGGTCACAGCTCCAATATTCTTCTGGTCAAATCCTATGTGCATACAACCATTAATAAAATGAACTCTTATGTAAACTACATGCACATATATTTCTTCATGCATAATACTGTTGGTCAATCTTGTAGGAAATCTCAGATCAGTGATCTTAGGAGAAATTTCCACAAGCAATTGGTAGGAAATTAAGGGTTAAAATATAATCCTAAAGTTAAGGGACTTAGCTGTAGACATTCCTCGTTTAGTGTAGCAGAAAATTGTATAGACGAGAATGAATTGTAAATGTTGCAACACAATAAATAAGATTCTTCAGAATAGGGAGACATTGACATCAAGAGAACCATACTGGAGCTAAAAAAATGGTTTCACAAAGATCCATTCAACGCCATTTGGCCACATGCTATTCTTATTTCAAGTTCCCTTTAAGAAGCAAATACCAAACATCATAAACTTTATGATTATTTGTGTTCTTTAAATTTTTGATCCGATGAAAGATGTAGAGTATGGTACCACCAAAAAAGTTGAAAACTCAAGGACAAGACGTTGGCATCAAAATTATATATAACAGAGAGAAAGGTCGACAAACTAAGTCATGGCAAAAGGTTGCCAAGTAAAAAACACCTTCACAAGATCCTCAGAAAGATACAAGTCATGTAACCAACAGTAAAAAGATGTAATTCAAATTATATTGTCATTTTAATTTAGCGTTTAATATAAATTGAGACGTAAAATGGTCATTTATTTCAGACCAAAAACAATTTTTCTTATTCTATACAGACAACTTAATCCGTACAGGGCTTAATGGGAAAAAACAAACAAACAGCCCTAATCAATAGTTTATACTAAGAAAGGTCTACTGATATAAGTATTGCAAAAGCATGCAACATTGCAAAGTAGAGTATTGGAGTATACCAGTACAAACAAGATTTCTGCATGCACCATTGCGGAAGTCATGAAACACTCTATTCCGGTGATCTTGCAACATTTTAGCATGAATATAGAAGCAAGAATAACCGAGCTCCGTAATCTTCTTGGCTAATAGCTCTACCCGGTTCACAGAATTGCAGAAAATGATGGATTGGTTGATTTGTAACTGTAAACAAAGCATCAAATGAATGAAACATGTTGACAATATACCTCAGAGAAAGATGTTAAAGTTATGACCAGACCTTTGAGAAAAGAGTGTTGAGGCAGTGAACCTTCTGTCTTTCTTCTACAAAAGCGTAAAACTGTGTGATACCTTTAAGAGTAAGCTCATCCATTAAATTAACAACATACGGTTTTTTCAGGTATCTATCTTTGAAATCTTTGACGGTAACAGGGAATGTGGCCGAAAACATCAAAATTTGGCGGCTCTCAGGAAGAAAACTGATTAGATGCTCCACGGAAGGTTGAAACTCTGGGGACAACAACTTATCAGCCTGAGGTATAAAGCAACTAATGTCAAATTCACACACACATAATTTCCAAACAATCAGAAAACAAGCATCGTCTCTGATATCACATATTAATTCCAGGTCGATAAAAACTGCCTATGCCTAGTCATAATTGCCCGAACATGTTTCTATTTCATATAAAGAGTGACCAATTCTCGTAATTATGTGACCAGATGTACTCATATGATTAACTCCTTTTTTTATTCCATTATTTTTTATGGTTCTCTAGCAACCCACTTAAGAAATTTAAATCAAGACAAAATGGTCAAACATGTAATACTTGTTGAGTGTTGCAAGCATGAAGGTGAGAACATGAATAGTTTCTGAAGGAATGAAAGAAAAAGAAACTACATATGATGAAGATGCTAGCTGATGAAAGTTGGGGAACACAACTGACAACACCCCCC